GCTTGCGTGCCCGACGAGCTTCTCTCCCCCCAGTGGGTACTGGGGATCCAGTGGTGTCGGCTCTGGGGGGCCGGGCAGCGTTGCCCCGCTGGGCTCGCAGGGTGGGTGTCAGAGACCCCCCCACCCTGTGCGTTCAGGCTGCCTTGGACATGCCCGTGAATCCTTGCTATTAAAATGTCATTATTCTTACAACAATACCACTTAATTCGTCGGGGAACACGGCGGTTAACAAATATTACAGCAACCAGCACTGCGTAAACCAGTACGTATTTCATGGTGGTAAGACCCTGGTGTTCCAACACGCTCGCGGGGGTTTGCAGCGACGCGCTCGGATCCGGGTTCTTGCAGCTCGGGGATGGTGATTCATCGTGGTGTGACCCCCGGCAGCCTGGCCCGGGGACCAGCTCCCGTTTCATCACGGCTCTGCACCCGGAGGTGCCACGAGGGTGCCATGAGGGTGAAGCAATCCTGGCCGTGGGCTGGTAACGAGGATTTCGGGAACCGCCTGCTTCGTGCGCTGACCTCCGCTCCTAGCGAGGCGTTGGAGGGACGGGCTGCCCCTGAAGCTAAAGTCTGAACATGGGCAGCAGCCACGTCACATTTTTCATCCTGATTTTGGGGAGATTCATCTGCCTGGGGTGGTGGCTGCGGTCAGAGCCCCGCTCCAGCAGCGCTGTGACGAGGAGCGTATTTATTTCGAGCGGTCCGTTCGATAACGTAAATAACAGACCGACTCCACTTGGTGAGACAGACTGAACGTGTTCTCTCTCGTAATGGCTGATCCATTCCTTGTGCCGACGTCCTGACAAGCTCTTGGCTAATAATGCTCTGCTTGGGAAAAGCCTGGGAGGTCTCAGAGGGGTTTATGGATGTCGAAAAAAGGTTACAGAAATGAAAAGTGGATGTTGTCAGCAGAGGAAACTGGAGAGGGGACCGGCTCGGAGTCACCCCTCGTTGCAGTCCGGCGGCAAGAGCGGGTGCTCCCACCCGTTTGCTGGCTTTTCCGAACAAAAGGCGCTGCCCGGTACCTTGGGAGGACAGGGATTTCAGAGAGCTGGATGATGGCTGTGCAAAGCCTTTTATCTCAGTATCCTGGATGTCCTCTATGTAAACCAGCAGTGTGTTACTCGCCTGTGCACGGCGTCTTGTTTCCTTCCACGGCAGCATTTATCCCCGTTCCGTCGTTGCCTGTGCGCTCTCCCTTGCCTCCAGCCCCTGTGCAGAGACACCCACCCTGCACCAGCCAC